TTAGCTCGCCATGTACCTCTCCTCGACTCTCCAGTGAATTTTGCAGAACAATACAGTTCTCTAATTGTTTGGTAGTTTGTCATTACCATGACTTGTCTCCGAAGCAACTACGTTCAAGCAAACGTTTTTTTTAATATATCTGTTTTCCTTATCTGATAGCTTCATAATGTCACAAACCAATTAAATATGCGGGCTGTATTTTCATTTTATTAAACGACAGAGTTATTGGCAATCTTGTTGCTGCAAAACAAATAGCACAATTGTCTTGTTTTTAGAAAACGAGCTAAACTGTCATGATCAGTGATACAAAGTTTATTAACCGAGTCTTGATCGATACATCTGTAGAACAAAGATTCAAATTGATTAAAAAAGGCTTTTTATTAATGTACTATTAATCCCCTCATCCCAGCCAGGAAGTCTTAACAGTATACACATGTTCAAAAAGTGGGCTAAATTATGTCTGGGTCAGTTTGTACCATATACTTACGAGATGAGAATTAAAGAGAAAAAAATGCTTTACGTTCGTTTTTGCTGCTACTATTTCTCTTTTTAAATCCACGTTAAAAACATTTCTTCTTAGTTGATTAACTGTTTGTAAATAATACTCATTTTTTGCTGCATTTTGTTTGTTTTGTCTGCTTTGTTTCGCTTGCTTTTTATGCTAATTATATTTCAGTATAACTTTGCCGTTTATTTTATATTCATTATGTTTAGTCTCAGTCTAGGGAGGGAGCTTATATAATAAGCCCCAAGGTTTCCATTTGAGCTTCCTCGCCAGAAAATTTTTTTAAAATTCTTTTACTTGCAATTTTTTAAATAACATTTTTGTAATATATTGAATGTCTGTATGCATATGTATTTTTTTTTCTGGGAAAAAATACATTGAAACTAAACTGAAACTGAAACAGTTTTAGAGCTGAGGGAATCAATATTTGAATGTAACCTGTTTTTCATCATAATAATAGGCATGAAAAAAAATTCTTAAATCTGAGGATTGGCTGAGAGCGATACAGTTTTATTAAACACAGAGCAAAAACGAGGAAATATAATGCAAAAACAAGGTAATAAAATGTAAATAATATATATCATAGAATTGAGTCCAGTGATGAAAAGGCGCCGCCGAGCTTCACATCTCGGTAGATTTACTTTGTGGAATAACGGCCGCCGAGCTACACATCTCGGTAGATTTACTTTGTGGCACTACGGGCGCCTAGTTACACAACTCAGTAGATTTACTTTGTGGCACAATGGACGCCGAGCTAAACAACCCGATTCGATGCATGCACCAAGAGTCGCACGCATTTACCAAAGAAAAATATGAAGGCTTAATCCAAAGTAAAATCTCACTCAGGGTGTAAAATTAAAGCAAACTTTTGAAAGATGAACGCTTTGGAAGATTCATTAAACACAGATCGATAGTAGACCTTTAGCAAACTCTTAAATATGTAAGCTTTACGAAGATTCAGCACTCTTTTAAAAGATGAACGCTTTACGAAGACAGAATAGCAGACCTCAGCAAACGTTTGAAAGATGAACGCCGAGGACACACGAATCACCACCTGAGTTAACGCGTCAAAGAGAGGCAAAACGTAAGCAAGCGCCTCAAAGCGAGGCAAATGTGTGTCGACACAAATGCAATCTCGAAAAAATCTCGCTTATTAATTGCACAGGACACCCAACAGAAATTAGGGGTTGCGTTCTCGTACCTCGAAAGCAATGATTGAACTTTAACCCACATATAAGAGCCTGTTTGATCTTGCTTGGCTAAACAGGTTCTTTTATGATTGGGTAAATTAAAGTGGACAATTTCTGCCAGCAGGTTTTTAAACCACTAGATTCTTATACGCGGGTGTTTTCTGTAACACATTTAATCAGTGTAAATTAAGCCAGTAACTGAGTCACGTGATATACCGCTAGCCTGAATGAAAAACTGAAATTCTCCAGTGAAATAAATTCTGCTCGCGGCTTTCCCCACGCATTTTACTGGAGTGTATGGGCTTTGTGTAACGCAATGTTCGCTTGCATAAAAAATGATTCAACTAAAACCGTTCATTTCTTTTCGGGGAGGATTTTTAGTTTTAGTTTTAATTTATAGCTAAAAAGCACAGTAAGCCATAATAGACTAACCGCTCCATCGATGGACGAGTGGCCTTAATGTTTCTTTTACAGCTAATTTCACTTCTCTGATCTTCCAGCAATAAATAAAGGGGTTCAGTGATGAGTTTATATATACTAAAGTACTTGTAAATTGCCAAGCAAGGTAATACGATAAATGCATCCCTCTTTGATGTATTAATTTATAAAGCTGTCGCTATGATGATAAGTAACCGGGCGGGACTCCGCATATAAAAGGGGTGGGGACGCTCGTCCGAAATTTTGAATTAAACCCCTAAAGGAGACCGATCTGGGCGTGGCCCAAGCTTTTTTTGACCCCTAAAAGAGACCATGTGAAAACACAGACAATATATATATTTTTATACTTTTTCGCGTGCAACCCTAAACGAGACCTTCACGGCTAAATATGATGGCGTTTTGCCCAGAACACCCTAAGTGAGACCCAAATCAGAAATTTGCACCCCTCACCCTAAGCGAGACGACGAGCATCCCCACCCCTTTCATACGGGGAGTCCCCCCCAGGGGATAAGTGGCAGATAACAAACGACCAATGCTGCCTGCACCCACAGTGCACCGTACACTGCCTTTCTGTATAGAGCTACGTTCATTTGAATTGCTTGGCTTTCTCCTTGTAAGGGGTGGATCCGATGAATTTGGTTATGACGCAGACAGAAGATAAGCGACGATTGTGATGGCTAACATATGTAGTGATCATACTCTCATATAGCTGTAGAAGCCGGTACGCCAACAACAGAAACAATCCAGAAGGCAAGTATAGCTATGTATGTCTTTTTCACAGTTACAACTTGTCTGTATCTGAGCCCCAGTAGCAAGGCAAGAAGTCTGTCCACACTTATTGCAGTCAGTGTTAATAAAGACACTCCACAAAAGGTATAAGCTGCCAAAGTAACCTTCAAATGAGCCAGATAACAAATGTCCCATTTTCCCGTCACCACAGAAATCCAATAGACAACATGGAGAGGCTCCGCAATGGTACCAACACAGAAATCAGTTACGGCTAGGTTACGATACAGGAGTTTGAACGGCGGGTGAAGTAAAGTTTCTTTGTGTAAAGCAACTAGGATCAGAGTGTTTCCCAGAACCGCTGTAATCGACAGAAAGATATTAACAATTGAGAGAAAGATCAGTTCGCCTTGTACCTCTGCAGTAAATTCCGCAGAGCAGGATAGTACTACGATTTTTTTTTGGTTTTCACCATCAGTAAAATTGTTCAGTGTCATTTTGTGTGCGTTGCAACTACGCGCAAGTGAGTGCTATATTAAGAGCCAATGTCTGTAATTTTCGAGAATCAGTTGACAGTCGTGAATTTTTGAATTTCTTCATATTTTGCCCACATAATCTCTATAGTACACTTATTTCAAAAATCACATTAAAACTTGTAACGGCTTTTTATTTTTTCCTGAATCGGGCAAAGTTTGAAAAACGCTAAATCGGCGCTCTTTCGAGTATGAAATTAGCGAAAATTAAGCATTTTCTTCGCGCTGAAAAACGGGGTGATATCTCTAACTGAAATCAAGTCACAAAGCAAACACAGACTTGCACTTTATAATTCAGCAACTATCTTTAGATAGGCTGCCTAAATGTGGCTGTGTCGGCCGCAAGAAGAAACACGATTTCGGCTCTCTTCAAAAATGGTAAATTTGACCTAACTTCACCATCGAAAAAAACAACTGACAATGGATAATGGACACATTTGATAAGCGAAACACAAGTATTTTGTTTACTGAAAGTAGTATTGCTTTGCTTCTCTGCAGCAAGGGCATCTTCTGGCGAGATCTCAACCTGCTGTTGACAAATTGTACATTATCTGATCCCCCGCCCCCCGAACAGAGGCCCTTAAAGGCCAGTCTACACAGTATGGCGTTAGAGCAGAATGCCAAACTGCTAGCTCCCACCTAAAAATAGGAATAGTCACCTGGCTCGGTCCGCCACCAACCCCCGGCACTTGTTCGCAGGCTAAAAAATAGCCCAATTCACTGACAAGTTCTTTTTCATAACGCGAAAATCCGTCGCGTAAATGAAAAAATGCTTTAAAATGCCTCAGCCATTTTACTTACTATCTTTTAACCAAATACGTTGCGGAGAAAAGAGAGAAAAGGCTGAAAATAGCCTTTCATTTCGATTTAAAATTTCGGATGCCTTTATGGACCCCTTTTAAATGAACAGCCAGCATGGCCAGTAGGCTGTTCTGGAACGGTACAACGTGATTTGTGCTCCGCCACCCGGAACCAAACATTTAGCGGTGGTGAGGAAAAACTTTTATTTTCATGCGCCAATTTTGTGGATCAAACAAAGTATGCTAGCTCTAAATGTAGTGATAAAGACATGAATTTTTGTATGTGTAGGGTTGATCCTAATGGAAAACCCAATGCCACCAACCCATCCATCTCTTCCTCCTGCCCTAAAGTAGACTTTTCATGACGTTAGCATAGTCACCTGAGACCTATTGTAAAGTTCACTAAAATAATAGCAAGCACCTTCGTAGCCTGTTCACAGACCCTCTACTTTTTCTTTAGAGATCGTCGATTTCGCGTATGAAAATTAAAACCGCAGAGGATTTATTGACCATTAGCGCAAGGGGCTCTCTCTCGCACGCTCGCTTCGCTCGCGTGCTTGTCTATTTTCGAAACGAAAAAGGAGTGTAAAAGCTGCACCTTCGTCGCTCAGAAAACGTCCTCGTAATCGGCTCCTGTCTGCGTATATCATTTTCTTTAGGTCATACAGAGTCATCAATCAATGTGCCTTTATGGACCCCTCTATGAGCAGCCAATAGGCTGATCTGGAACGGTACCAAGTGATTTGGTGCACCGCCATCTGGAACCAAACATTTAGCGGTGGTGTGGAAAAACTCTTATTTTCATGCGCCAACTTTTTCTTCCGCTTTCACAAGCTGCGAGCTTCCTCTTTTCCCATCTTTTCTCTGCTCTTTCCTTTTCTTGCTTCACATGTTGTGGAGTTGGGGCTTATTTGATATGTCGCCTTACATTTCGCCATGACTCTGTCCAAGTCCTCAACAAGATGTAACACATCCTTTACAGCGCCAGACTTGATATAACGTCGTTTCTCGTCTTTGAAACTGGTCAGCAAACTTTAATTCAGTTGTCTGTTTTGGTTCATGCAAAAAAGAATATCCATAACAAATTGACCAGTGATGCCATCACGATTCATGCATATCTTCC